ACCTTGCCTCTCTTACAGATGTAAGAAGAGTTGTTGATTTTCCACTTTGTTCAGCTTTTTACTTGCTGTTAGAATAGAGTGTTGACTTCCAAGCTCCTACATGGTAGACCAGAAACCAGAACTAGCCTCTGTTTTTTGTCTCTGCTGTTTTCTCTGTCTGGAATCCTTTTCCTGCAGAGCTTTTCCATGCTGCACCTTCACTTCATTCCAGAATCATTGTGGCTTCCACATCCCTCCTTTCTCCTCCTGCCTTGGAGACCCTGGAAGTAAGATGGAGGGAGAACGCATCCCTGAGTCCCTGACCCCACCTGGATTTTGTGAAAGAAGAAATCTTTGTTGCATAAGCCAGTGAGATTGTGTGGTTCATTTGTTGAGGCAGCTGACTTTAATTATCCTGACAAATACCATCTCCTTTTCTCCCATCTCCCTTCCATCATCCAGTGCTACTTTTCTTCATACACTTACTGTCTAATATATACACGTCTATATATTCATTGTCTCTCCCTATTAGGATGTCAATTTTGGGGGGCAGCAAGTTTGTTTCAGGGACTAAGAATACAGCAATTAACAAAACAGACATGGCAGGCAACCCACAAATGTCTGCTCAATGCATGAATGAGAGGATGCCCACTTCCTATCTCCCTGGAGGTCAGCTCCTCTCCGCAGCTCTTCCTGAGTCTGGGTCTGTTTGCCTCTGCCGATGGCTGTAACTAAATGTTTCTAATGACAGATAAGTGACACTTCTCTTAAAATCAACAACCTTAAAGCTAACTCAGCCACCCAGAACACCACGCCACATTTTCTGAGATTGCTGGAGATTACACAGCTGGCTGATTTACATTTGTATTTGGCTACTTGTGTAATATTATAAATAACAGTATATTCATGATTTACTTGAAAGCTCTTTGTTTAATGTATCAAGCATCACACAAATATATGCATAGGATTTCATAAGCACTTCTATCCTTTAAAATTTTATTTCCTACTGTATCTTCATAGCAGCCCTTCCATAGACAGAGCAAATATCTCCACTGTCACAGGTCAGGAAACCCAACTGCAGAGAGGGTTCTCTGCTGAGGTCCCGTGGCTGGGAAGAGGAACAGTGGCTACTCAGCTGTGCTTGGAACTTCCATTGTCTGCTTCGTAGGTCTGCCCTCTGCTGGCTCCTCAGAATTGCTATCATTAAAGAGTGTTGAGCACTTACTAGAAGCTCTGTAGCTGAGATTTAATAGTAGGCCTGGACTCAGGGACAGCTCTGTGTCTGAAAAAAAAGGATGTCTCTGCACCTAGTTGGTTTCACCAGGAGTATAAGCAGGAAGTTTTGTCTGCTTTCTTCACTACTGTATGCCCAGCATATTAAATAAATTTGTCGAATGATTGAATGAATAAATGAACAAATGAATCTTTCTGAACATTAGTTTCTTAGTCTTCAAAATGGGAATAAAAGCAACTCATTTTATGTGATTATAATGAGATTTAATGAAGTGGTAAGTTCATGTGGTATTTTATAATGCTCAAAGTGTAAAAATAATTTTAATGTAATTTAAAACAGCCAGCTTTTAATTAAAATCAATTTCCCAAATTGTGTAGTTCATCCCTGAAATGAGTAGAGAGCTCATTGACTTGGACACATTTTCATATTTGGATTCTACGATATTCACTTCTTCTACAGTGGTATTTATAGCTGAGAATACACCACAAGGACCTAAAAATTTATACGCTACTATTGATCAAATTCCTCATTTTTCAGCACTGGACCCCTTTCACACACAGCTCATTCCTACTCCAAAATCAAACCAAGGGCCTGATTCAATAATCATTACCTGCCAGCTCCCTTTATAAATTTCCCACTTTCCTCAAACATGTGTTTCCTAAGCGAACTCAGTTATTGACTGATGGGTGTGTTCTTAAAGACATATTTCCCCATTGCTTTTTTGCTGTCCCCTTTTGAATCATGGCCTCTGGTTTACTTCTAAGTGTCAATATATACAAGTTCATAGTTTGGAAGTCAATATTTTGTACCAGAAGTCACAAATTGTCAAGCCAAGGCCTGAATCTGGTCTAATGTTTAGTTTGACCAGCATTTAAAATGTAGGAGATTTTTTACTTCTTTTGGGAAAAAAAATCTGAAAATATGGCTACGCTGAACTGGCACTTCTGCATAGCAATTATTAGCTCTTTCCATTTAGATGGGGACGTTCTTGTGCATTCCCCACCATCCTTATTACTTTTAAGTATCTTATACCCAAGATCACCTTCCATCTCAATGTCTATAGACGTAGAAGAGTTTATCCCTCACACATCTTCCAGGGCAAAAGCAATCATCCCAGTGGCATCATCACCATGAATAATTCAGATCTCTCTCTGCCATAGACTTCTTCCAACCCCACACTCACTTCCAAATACCTTCTGGACTTCTCCCGCAGAATACCTGTCCGTTTGTCCTTCCTTGCTTGCTTCCTTCCTTCCATTAAACAAGTAAGAACCAGGATATAAAGAAGATACCTGCTTCACCCTTCATGGAGCTGGTGAACGAACTTAGCATGGAAGCCATATGCTATATGCAGTGGTTAGGGCATATGCAGGAAATCATGGAACTTAGCAGACCATGGAGGGAGGTGCGGTGGTAGTTAGGGACATCTTTCTGAAGCAAATTGTGCTTGGCTTGATTAATTCAGACTAGAGAATGACTTTCATTCCAGAGAATTGACAGAAATCAGAAACCTAAGGACCCACACTACCTTGTTCATTTGTTGTACCAACATATGGCTGCTTGGTATGGGTCGCTCACTATATTAGTGGTAACCAAGACTGAAATGGTCCCATGGAAGCTAGAATCAAGAAAAGCCTGGCTAACCAAGTGGATGGAGGGGTTATTTGCTGAGATGAGGCATACATCGAGCAGGTTTGACCCAGGAAGATGAGAGTGCAGTTTTTGGACATTGAGTCTGAGGTGCCTACAGGACACCCAGGTAGAAATGTTCAGTGGTCAATTGCACAAAAAAGTCTAGAACCCAGAGAGAGATGGAAGATGCAGACATAGAGCTAGAAGTCACCGGTTCACAGGTGGTAATTGAGGAGCTGTGAAATGTAAAATCACCAGAGTGAGAGAGCATAGACAAGAGATAGGAATGGTGGCCAACCACAGATAATATCCTTCAAACACTCCTTTTCTTCTGCATGCCTGAGACGGAGAGATCGGATAGTTAAGAGGAAATTCAGGAGAGTAATGTCTTAGAAAAGAGAAAAAAAATTTCAAAGAAGAGAGGAAAAAAGTCACATCAGCAAAAGATGAAGAGCATCCATTTGGATTTGGCCAAAGAGTTCATTCAACCGGATCACAGTATCCAAACCCTGCTGGCTGGCCCCAGATCTTCTCCCTCCTGGGTTAGAGTACAGAGATGCTCCCAAGGTGGAAGCTTCAGTTACCCGTAACTCCTGCTGCTCCTGCATCTCTCACCTGTATCCTGAAGTTAGCCCCCCTTCTCCATCCATTCCACCACCACCTGAGTTTAGGCTGCATTTCTTACTATAATGGACTGTTGCAAATGCCCTGGTATTATTTGCTTTCCACTTTGGCCATACTAGCTTTCCCACTGTTTCCTCAACAGGCTATATGCCTGTCAAGACTTAGGGCTTTTACACAGTCTCCTTCCTCTGCCTGAAGCACCCACCTCTAGTAATCTGCTTGATAAAACTGTTGGCTGTACATCAAAATCCTGTTAATTTCCCCCCATGAAGCTTCTCTTTGCAAACTGGCAGAATAATATATTCCTTCCCTTGTGTTCTCACAGCATTCTGTTCATAAGTGTTTTGTGGCATCTATCCCATTGTGTTACAGATTCATTACCAGTCTGCCCCCTTTGCACAGACTTCAGACTGAAAATCCTAAGAATTTGAGGTGATGATTCTTACAGACTGGCATTACCCTTAGTTCATACCTATATTCTTTGTGGCTATTATAATGTAGGAATACAGGAGGTACTCAAATATTTCATGTTACGAGTCAACAAATACGTAGTAGCTATAGGAAATATAAGCATGTTTCAAAGTGGACATTAGCCAACTTTGGGAGAGGAATCAAAGGAGAAGTTTGGGATAAATATGGTGAGTTTCAGTTCCTGGATATAGAAGTAGAAAGAATCTTTCATTTTTATCCTTTAGCTCAGAGAAAAAAAAAGTCATTTTTAAAGTTAAAATGTAGGCAGTCAAGAAGAGGAAAGAGAAAGAAAAAAGAAAAAAGCATCTTGTCGAGAGAAGCCTGGGTCCCTCATGGCTGACGGTGGTGGCTCTCCCAGGAGCAGCCATGTCCACCTGGCTTGCTGATTCATTCTAATGAAGCCTTTATCTCATCACCATTTTTGGAACTGCATTCATTAACCTTTTCCTGGAGGTCAGCAATTTCAGGAAAATCTAAAATTCAAAGAAGTAAACCAACAAGCATACCTAAAAAAATAAACAGCCAAACAGAATCTAAGTGAAATTTTACTAAAAATCAGTTTTGACAATATCTTCACAACTCCTCCAAGACACCTATCAAAACACATTAACGAATGTCTCTAAGACGAGGAAATGACTTGGAAGAGAAATGAATATGTACACAGCAGAGAACTTAATCAGCATAGCATTCCGGGAGAGTACTGCCATTCACAAAACCATGTTAGGTTTTAGAACTATGTGCTAATCTTAGTTAATCTTAGTGAGGTGGGTACAGAGCAGACCTGTTATTTAAATATGAAATGTAAATGAGTTTGGGGGGTTGGAGAGTGGTGAGTGGTAGGAAGTTGAGGGCCTACAGTAAACAAGGGAGAGCCTCCCCTCAGGGGGATACTGACATAGTCCTTCCCTTTGGGGACAGGCCAGGATATGGGTCCTGTGTTGCCATATGCCTTGATTTTTCTAAGAAGCCAGAAATCCTGATTTGTGTATAAAATGTCCTCATTTTGAAAATGTTATGTGAGTCTAGTAATATGTTTCTAAAGGTAACATTTGCTCTGTAGGTTTCCAGTTTGCAGCACCCATTTTGAAAGTCCAAGTTATATCTTACCTGCCTGAATCCTGGCTGAAGAAACAACGTCTGAGCCCTGTGAAGTGATGCTGTGTAGCATGAAACGTGCTTCTCCTGGAAAGTGTATGTACCTGTTCCTCTGTGTCTGTGTGTGTGTGTGTACATATACATACAGTTGACTCTTAAACAACACAGGTTTGAACCCATTTATACACATATTTTCAGTTAATCTAGGACCTGTATTTTCATTTTACAGATCTTTAAATTAACGTGAAATTAAGTGTGGGGAAAACTTTGTTTTCAATTAGAGATCACAGCATCTGGAATCAAAAGAACTAGGGTTTGAGTTCTGATTCTAAGCCACCTGTCTCAACTTCCTGCTGTTGGGTGAATCACTTATCCTCTGTTTTTGAGTCAGAGATAGCAGTACTTGGATTTCTGACTGCATGGGATTTCAGTGCCCCAGCCCATGCATTACTCAAGGGTCAGCTGTGTGTGTGTGTATATATGTGTATATATGTATAAATATGTATATATATATAAAATACCAGGTGCTGGTTTTCTATAAAGCACTGTGTTAATTACATGACAAACATCACACTTAATATTCATCTAAAAGGGTTGTTTTGAGGATTGTTATTCCCAAATGATAAAGGAGGAAATGGAGACTCAGAGAATACATGACCTTTTTAGGGTCAAAAAGCTGGTAAGTGGAGTCCTGGGGTTAAACCAGGGGCTGCAGGATGCCACACCTCTGTTTCCAGCCGCCACTCTGGACTTCCTCTCAAGTAAAGGAGACACAGAGAGGCAGAGGGGCTGCCTGAGGTGTTGTTTTTGTTTTAAGCCTTTTGAATAAACTCATATGATTCAAAACTCAACAACGTAAAGTATACAGTGGAGTCTTGCCCCTGTACTGTCTGCTGTCTACTTCCAACCCTCTCCCCGATCCCTGTCCAAAAGCAAAAACTTTTATAATTTCTTGTTATCATTCAAGAGTTTCCTTACACAAATATATGTATGCCTCCGTTTCCTTTACACAAAGGTGGCATATTGTATACATTGTCCTGGGACTTTTTAAAAACAACCTCTCTTAGAAATATTTCCATGTCAGTCTGCAGAAAGCATCCTCATTCTTTTTTACAGAACCGTGACATCACACTATATGGGTGTACTATAATGTGTTGAAACATTCCATTCCCCAGTCAATGGACGTTTCTGGGTACTATTTTGGTCATTCTACCTTACTGAATTCTCTTATTGCTTATAGTAATTTTTCTGTTGATTCTTTTGGGTTCTCCTGGATTACAATATCATTTCCAGGTTTATACTACTGATTTCCTTTTCTTATATCACGTCATTGGTCATTGCCAATTGACCTGAGGTTTTAAAGGTGTAGGGCTTAGTCATAGAGAGGATGGGCATTCCAGGTGGGAAGAACGTCAGAGACTCAAAGATGTAAAACACCACGGTGGGGGCTGAGAAATACAAGAAATAAGTGATAATAATACAAGGTGTAGAAGGACTGAAGGGGAAAATAGGCTGCAGGAGACAGGAATGGATAAGAGGCTTGTGAAATGAGGGGAGTGGAAAGATCCTACAGGAGTAAATTGGCTCCGTTGAAGGTGGTAAGCCTGAGGCTGGAAGCTCCTTCTGGAACTATTACATGGTTCCAGGTGAATGTGAGAAAGGTGAACAATGTCAGCAAGGAGAGCAAGAAGAGGCTGATAATATCAATACCATTTAGAAGGTAACCTGACAAGGCAGAGGCATGAGGAAGGAGGAGAATCTGGATGGTTAGGCAGTGTCCTTACCTGAGATAAAGAATGCAGAGGAGCACGTTTTGCGAGGAAGAGAAGTTTGACTTTCAAAATGATCATCTTGAGATGTCCTGCACTACAGAAAGGAAAGGTACTATCTCACCTCAACTTTGAATTGCTTGATGGGCATCTTGCTCTTGTGTTTGGCAAATGGTGGAAGTTGGACCTAAACCCAGCTTTCTTAATGCCAAGATCAGCAGTCATTCCAGTGTGCACGCTGCTTTCAAAATAAGCAGAGCACATGAAAGAACATAACTGAAAACAAGTGCAGCTGGTTAAAACAAGGCTGCAAACTTCAGGAGAGAAGAGTGGAGGAGGCCCTGCTAGCTGGACAGACTGGGATCACATAAGCAGCAGAACCCTAACAATTGGGGCTTTGACCTTCTACTTGTATTTAGAGAATACAAGTAGAAAATAATACTTTTTTAAAATTCTGCACATTTTAAGTTGTCCTCCTATACCATCTCTGTTGGGAAAGGTAATCCTGAACATCCCTCTGCATCCTTGCTGGGTGTGTGAGGAAGCGGGCCCCTGGCCCCACTTTACCTCGGTCATGTCTCAGGGTTGCGTTTGCTGAGGGCAACCCTGAGGAATGAGATGATGTCTCCCATGGCATAAAGGGGAGGCTGTCTACTGTTGGCTGTAAAACAGTGGATTCCCAGACTCACTGTCCTTTCCTGTAGTGCATGTGCAGGTGGCCATCTCAGGCCATCTGTTACCCCCAGGGGACTGGCCAGAGGGGTGTGGCAAGAGGAATCCATGTGAAAGTGGTGGTGGTCCTGCTGCACAATGAATATTACGGTCCCTTCTCTCTGAAGCACAAGCCGATGTCTTCTGGCGGCATTCATGGAATAGTAACGGGCTAACTTATCAGCTTAAAAATAGGCTAAAATCAAATCCCACATCCCGACCCTCCCCACCACTGCCAGTTTTGAGTCCTGGCACTCATTTTGCTCTTAAGAGCTCGTGGGAGCCTCCTTAGCAGCCAAGGGATGCGTTGGCAGGAAAATCAAGGTCAGGGAGTCCACTTCCTTCGGTGCTTAAGTAGGGACCCGCTGACCTCCTCCCCCGACCCTCATTGTCCCTTCATGCTGTAAGAGGATGTCCCAGCTCATGGCACCCTCATGACTAATTTTGGCGCTCTGAAGCATAATGACTAAGGTTAGATAGTTTGGGGTCTTCCAAAAGCTCAGCATCGAATTTCCACTCAACCATGTCTGTGCTTCTCTCTCTGGATAACTAAGAGATGAGGTGCCCCATCCGGACCGTTCACCATGCCATCTGCCTCCATCCACAGCCCAGACTCACAAGAGCCAAAAGGAGCAAAGAAAGCAGAGAGCTGAAAGGAAATGTGGAACCAGCTCATGATAAATATATAGCAGTCCATTCATTGCTTTCTCATTATTTTTCTAACTCTTTTCCCACGGTAATTAATTCTTTGCTTTGGCCTAAGACACAAAAAGGCTTCTCCCACAACCACAGGAGAAAGCATAAATCAGAAATAAACCAGCTCATACCAGGCTTGTTTGATCGTCATCTTGTGGTTCAGAAAACCTCAGGCCTTGAATGTGAATTACGCTAATCCGGGATCGTCAGCACCCCGAAGAAACAAAAAGTCTTTTTTGTGGATGACTAACACAAGACTAGGCTTCAAAACATTTCTATAAATTATTTTTCAAATACAACCCCAAATCTCAATGACTGCCAGAAATATGATGAGACAAGGCTGTGAATAAGAACCAGCAGAAACAACAGATCCACAGGGAACCCAGCTGTTGGAGTCATCAGACAGAGACTGGACAGCAGTGACTCCCACAGACGTGTTTGAGCTTGGCTGATATAACCTTGAATGTGGCATAAACTCTCTCACAGAACCAGTCACTTGTACTCTTCTCTCCAGTTCTTCCCATCTTCTTCTATCTCCCTCCCTCATTTTGCCTTTTCCAGAATCTTCTCTCTTTTCCTGCAGACATCTTCTCTTCTGTTTTTCAAGGTGCTCAGGTTTCTTTGTAGTGGTTTAACATGCAGGTTCTGGAAACAGCCTGCCTGGATTCGAGTCCTGGCTCCACAATTTACCCAGGGCAAGTCACTCAGCCTTTAAGCCTTGATTTTGACATCTAGAATCTGTACCTACCTCATAGGGCTGTTATTAGGGTTAAATTAATGGATACAGGCAGTGTTAGAAGAGTGCATGGCATTTGACTGTGCTCCGTAACTATGAGCTGTAGAAACTCCCAGTCACTGAGCTTACTGTCAGGGTTGTATAGTCATCTGCCTCCCTCTCCCTGGAGCTTCTATTCTGGGTTTCATTCCCCCTAGGGCTGCTGTCGTGTCAGTGGTCCCCCCTTCCCCCCAGCCTCAGGGACCCACTGCCACTCTATGGCTATGGCACGAGCCTGGACAAAAGTCCACCCACCCCACCCGTCTCCTTAACACCAGTGCCACGTGTAGGGGTTTCACACGTCTTTCATGATTTCCCAAAACACTGAGAGAAAACAGAAGAGAAAAGTGTATGAAACATACAAACCGTCTGGCTCACAAGGAAGGGGCATCTATTCTCACCCCAACCCTCTGCCTCCAGCATGCCCAGCCTTGTCCCTTCCCTCTCTGCTCCCCATCGTCGTGGGCCAGAGTGGGTTTCTCTCAGCTTCTAGAGGGGTGGGAGGGGCTTGTGGGCTTCTCCACCTGGCCCTTCACCCTCTGCCTTTCAGCCGGCCTCCCTCCATGTAGAAGAAGCTGTGTGGGCTGCCACGCGACAGCCACTGCTGGGCACCTCCATTCTTCAGTTATGAGGCTGAAGAAGGAGTTTAATTGGTTTCTGGTAGAAGTGCATTCACTCTCAGGTGGCCCTTGACTCCGCTCTACAAGCAAGGAGCCATCCCCACAATGGGCCAGCTGTCTGGGACAGGTTTGCCCCATCTTGCCAGTCCCCTATTTTGCCCTGTGTCCTAGGGCCTGATCCCTACTGGGTGCATTTCCCAGGCTCCCCTGTCAGTGAATGTCCAGCTGGACTTGGCCACAGGGGCACTGGAGGAGGACTGCAGCCTAGGAGGAAGAGACAAGCCAGAGTCTCTCCCCGCCCTTATTCTGGGGATGCTCTGGCAGCTGCTGCACCTCTTTATCGTCCAGCTTTTCTGACAGGCCCCCACAACCAGGTTCTGCAGGGGAAACTGGCCCCTGAGCTCCAGTTACCTGGCCTCTTCCCTTTGACCCTCTAGACTTGGCAAAGACGTGGCTTTCTGCTGTTGCTAATTTCTCAGTTGCTCCACTGTCCCCTTTTTGCCTTTTCAGCTTTTTCTGTCACCT